GACTTAAGGGAGCTGCCTCCTCTTCAAGATTAAGAGGTGGGTGTAACTATTTTCCTCTGGCCCTGGTAAATGTTCTTGATGACAGTCATAAAAGCACTAAGCGCCTGCCCGTTGCCTCTCATTGGAATGAAGGCTGTCGAGAACTCCCCCTTCCCTGAAGACGCTAATTGCTGATGCCAGCGCACCTAAACAGGTGTTCTTCCGATCGCTTTTCCTAATGCCTTTTCACTGGGAAGATCAATTTAAACGTTGCTTTGAGCTAATCCTCGATTGCTTCTATGTTCATCCAAATTTATATCGTTCAGTCTGAGGAGCCAGAGGACACACTGCCTTCCAAGTCTGTAAATTTAGACAAGATTTTTTTAAATTCTTTGTCCTCGCCTATGGATTCAGTATTTATATATTATTTACGTAAGGGGCTGGAGAGATGACTCGGGGATAAGCTGTCTAGGGTGCGAGCATGAGAACCTGAGTTTGAACCTCCAGCAACTGACACAGAAAGCTGTCCGTGGAGGCACAGTCCGTAACCCCAGAGCTGGCTGGCAGAGGCGGGCAGATCCCAGGAGCTCGCTGATCTGCTGCTCTAGCCAATAATTGAGCTCCAGGTTCAGTAGGGATTCTGTCTTAGAAAGTGGTGCAGATAAACAACAGACATGGCCTCTGGTCGCCACAAACGCGTGTGTGGGTGTGTGTCCCTGCACAGACACATGCACCTGCACGCACATAGCACACAGAAGCCCAGGAATGTATATAAAACATGAATACGCACTTCTTTTTATTATTGAAAATGCTTAGTTAAAACCTGTATGAGAATGGTTGTACAGACGCATCTCTGAATGTCTGTATCAGCAGCCAGGGTGCATCCTACATGGTAAGTGTTCGGTGAGTGTCTGTGGACAAGATAACTTAATATCCCAACCAGGAGCACGGACAAAGTAGATTTGTTGCCTCTGGGCATCTGAATTTAGGAATTCTTCAAGTATCTGACTTTTCTGTTCAGGTATCTGTGTTTATTTTCTTCTTTCTACCTAGGATTCCCTCTGTTTTGTCTGTTTTTCTGGCAATCTCACCATTTGCTCAAGTTTCTGATCAAACGACAACTCTCCCACATAGTCCAACTTGCTATGTCTAAGAAGATACGGAGTTGGTATTAACGGAGCTAGAATAGGCCATGTCCTGTTTTCCAAGCCTTACCTTACTCTGGCTCCCGGTCAGCTGTCCAGTGGGTAATTTTACTCTGTCTAGTCACCCCTTTACCGAATGTGAGTCCTAGGAAATGCTAAGAAACTTGTTAGTAGTTTTGAAAATGATTTCTTTCCATTGGGTATAGTCAATCGTAAATAACCAATGTGGGTTTTTAATTCAATACTCTAAAACATGGAGTTTTAGAAACTGGACGTTGTCTGTTTGGACTCTCATCTACAAGTGAAGATTCACCAGTGATGTATCCATTGGTCTTGTTTGAGGTCACCTGAGTGCAGAAGAGCAGATCCCCTGTGTGCTGTGGCAGGCGTTTCTTCCTAACTTAGCCCTTCCTGGTTCATCCTGGAGTGGGAAGTGTCCCGTGTCCCTGTTGAATATGGGTACCTACCTCCTCCTACTCCCTTTCAGTTCCCGTTTATAAGCAGCAGAGCAGAAGTTCAGTGCCTTCCATCTGGAAAATATGAAAACTGGGTGCCCAGGCAACCTTGATGAGCAAACTCCATCCCTAAATTATAATGCCTAAGCAAAGCCCTCTGCTCTGCTCTTCAATACATGCCTTCCTATCATCAAATAGCTGGGATTTTATATTGCACATTGTCAAGCAGGGAAAAATTGTCATCCTTAGGAATGACTGACAGTCTCCGTGCCTCATTTCTGCTGCACTGAGCTAAGTAAAGTGAAAAAAAATATCTTTAGTCCCCTTCTGCATTTCTTGCTGAAAACGTGTGTGACAGGACTATCCATTTGCACTGGAAACTGACGGGAGAACGGGTGCTTCCCGAGTTCTGGAAGTCTTTGAAAAGCGTCCCAATTAACAGAACGTGGCTAGCACCTCAAAACTAAAGTCAACTGAATGTTGCCGTGCGGAGGAGTTTAGAGCTCTGGGCTGTTGGCTGATTGCCTGGGGAGAGTGGCAGCAATGGCTTGCCAACTGGCTGAGGACACGCCTATAAAGGATTCGGTCAGCCTACATCTTGACAAACTAGGATTCCGACGGAAACCGGGGAGGTCAGCAGCCAGCCACTCTCCCTGGCTAGGTCCGTCAGCTCTGGCCACTGCTTTTGTGTGAGTGGAGAATGTATCTAGATGGCCAGGAGTAGTAGGGCTAAGTCAGTACCCTGCAAACCAGAGTTCGCTTTTGGACCGAACACACAGATTCTTTAGTGGAGATGTAGATTCAGGATGTAGCTGAAGGCGGCACACCATCGAATGCCAACAGAGACAGCCATGCTACCCAAACAAACCCATTGGCTCACACAGACAGACAAACCCCGCCCACAGTTCCCACTCAACGGCCTTGTCTTTTGGACGGAGCTCCAAAGTTACTGCAGCCCTGTCTGCTGCTGGTCACGCACACTCAGCCTTGAATGACTGCTCTTTTGCCTGGTGCTTTTCTTTCTTTCTTTCTTTCTTTCTTTCTTTCTTTCTTTCTTTCTTTCTTTCTTTCTTTCTTTCTTTCTTCTTGTTTGTCTATACTTTTCAAGACAGGCTTTTTCTGTGTAGTTTTGACTGCCCTGCAGCTTGTTCTACAGATCAGGCTGACCTGGAACTCAAGAGATTTGCCTGCCTCTGCCTCCCGCCTTCCGTTGTTTAGTGCTTTTAAGAGAATGAAAGAACAACACACACACACACACACACTCACACACACACACACTGACACAGTCTTGCATTTCTGTGAGCAATCTGAAAATGAGAGCCATTTAAAGGGTGTTACTGGAAGAAAAAAATGGGCAAAATACCCTTAGTCTTTCAAGCAGATTTTTAAAAAACTTGTCAGAATTAATTTAAACACATATTTAAAAACAATCATTCAAAAATAGCCACAAGAATACTGTGAATACGTTAAAAGACAGCAGAAGAAATACCTGCAATACTGAGTGTGGAGCCAAAAGAAGATCAGCACCCTTACTACCTGAAATGATCTGGGAATTCAGGAAGGAAGAAATGACATACAGAAGCATTTTCTACATTGCTAATATCAAAAATACTAATGGCAGCTGGTGTTTCCTTTCATCTTTCAGACAAGAAAACACAGAGTTATCCTGAATAGCCATCTGATACTTCCATACACTGTCCCTAGTAATGAAAGACACGAAACCACCTTTCCTGGGGCAGGGTATGTGTGAGCGTGCGTGCAGGCGTGCGTGAATATCTACCTGCAGAAACTCAACTCAGAGGAGCGCTTAGGGTATAAAGATGATGTCTGAGCAAACTACACAGACTAAACGTTAAGAACAATACAGCGTTCATCAAATTAAGCAAAATATATCCATACTGTTACGCAATCCTTAACATAGGATTAACACATAGTTAGCATGTGGTCATGTTTTTTTTATGTGTACATATAGTTAAGCGCATGTCTACATTTATGCATATACATGCTTACATAGATGTACATAAGTGTTTGCATCTGATTCGTGCCTTTTCAAAGCTGTTCTCGTTAGAAAAGATTGAGTTTAGTTATCTGAAGATAATAAAAATAAAGACTTTATTCAAATATACTTACAACATTTTTAAAAGCACAAGTTTAAGGGAGTTAATATGAAGAATAGAAGAACAGACTTGAGTATCTAAATGGAGATTTACTGAAGCTTGAATGAATAACATTGAATAATGAATTCATTAATTTTCCTTTGGCAGAGATTGGCTTGGGTTTTAGACTTAAGTATTAGTGGATCTGAGATATCACTTAACATATTTCCGTCTCCTAACAGAGCCGTTGGGTCAGACGAAACACATCGGGAGCTCTGTGCTTCAGATCTACTGCATTGCAAGCATGTCTATGCAACCCATGACTTACCCCTTAGTTCAATACTGGAAAATCCTTGTAAGTCTAGAGTTTATTGCACAACTTCCCGTATGTGGAGGAGGAAAAATTGATGAAAGATTTTAAAAAGTAATTGAGAAAAAAACTATAAAGAAGCAAAAAAATAAGTTTTAAATGTTATAAAAATTGGTTGGTATAGGGTAGTTTAAAATTGCAAAATGTTAAATATAGTAAATCAGATTAGCACTAATATTGTGAATATATGACTGTGAAAAGATGGACTAAATGACTAGCTAACTGCCTTTTTAATAAGACTATTAGTAATAGAATCAATTATGGTTCATTATTAACTATATTAACAGAAAATTAGGCTTTCCTAGTTATTCCAAATATGCAACATTTTAATAGACCGTGGTCCCTTGTCAACCCATGTGAAATGTAAAGGCTTATAAACCAATTCCTTTCCATGAACTAAACTGGATTAGATGATCAATTAATGGTTAAGATGTTATTATATCTCTTCGTAATGTTTCTTGTCAAAATCTCAAATATTCTTGATTCAACTTGTGCTTCTATGTGCGCAATATAATTTGGTCATAATTGCTTTCATTTCGATTTTCTTTATGTTGGGGGTACTTATTATCTTCTTTCTCATCCACTGGGAACGTCAAGTACCAATTTTTGCTATTATCAAGTCAGCGAGGAGCTTCCTACTGAGTGCTTTAATTACGGTTAATTGAATATTGTAAATGGTTTTCGGGATCGCCACCTTGGCAATCCACACAACATTCTTCCCTACAGAAGTCAAAGCACCAGGAATCCCTTCTGCTCCTCCCTGCGGAGTTAACCAAGTCAAGTGTCAAGAGTGGTGAGTTCCTGTAGAACCAATCTCTTTTCTTCAAAAAGGTCCCATCACGTACACACTTTGCATGGTGCTTTGACGTGGCAGATGTCCGCTGGGTTTGGGACAGCGCTTGCTCTTTAAACAGAAAGATTCAGGTCTGAGGCATCTATTCTGTTTTGTTTTCCAGGCCACAGCATCCAGCACAGTCCGTTCACTTCTCTCCCATAGAGCTGGCTCATTGTTGTGGGCCAGAACCAAGGGGCCACGGACTTTTTACTGCTCTGTCGTTAAAAGAAAGAAGACAAAAGAAATTATTAAGTTGAGAGCCTCAAAAGATTTGAGGATATCAGAATGTTACCAGAAAAAAACAAGAGAAAAAAAAATCATTGAGCCTGCATTCCCATGTACTTTATGCCTAACCATGGACAATAAACAAGAAATGAGGAATTTATGGTTTTAGTTATATAAAATGTTGCCTTCTCTCTCTTTTTTCTTTTTTTCTGTGTAGCTTTGGAGCCTGTCCTGGAACTCACTCTGTAGAACAGGCTGGCTGCAAATTCACAGAGATCTAACTGCTTCTGCCACCCAAGTGCTAGGATTAAAGGCTTGCACCACCACCACCCGGCCCTAAAATATTGCCTTCTTAATGATTGTTTCCTGTGTCATCCTGTTCTATCATTATAAACTTACGACCAAAAGAAGCCTTGAAATATAATCTAGACTCCCCTTCCTTGTTAAGGCTGCCCACAGAGCAAAACATCGAGAAAAGACCCTGTCCCTGCTGAGGAACAGGCTTTCACAGGTTTGCCTCACAACCTTGCCTACTGTAAATGGTCTCTTCTTCTAGGGCTTTTCTATTGTATAAAGCCACTTGCTATTAAATTTGAGAATCTCAGATTAAAAGAAACAAAATCGAGGCTCACTCTCTGAGTTCCTACTCACTGCTGCAACAAACCTTATACCTTAGGTTAAGTAATTTATACACAATAGAAAATTATGACAGCCAGCTCTTAAAGCTAGAGATGCAGTGTCTAGTGAGGCATCCCTCTCTCCTTCAAAGAAGATGCTTTCTTGAGCATCCTCCCAAGGAACAAGGGGCAAACGGGATCCTGGAGGACCTTCCATGATACCACTAGTTGCATTTGTGAGAATTCTGCCCTCATGACCAAATCACCTACCGAAGGATCCACTTTGTGACATCTAGAGGCATAAATATTTGTGAGATACAACTAGACCATTTAGTAAGTTTCCAAGGTTGGGTGGCAATATACTCTACATGCTATTTATTTCCTGTCTCCTTTTCTTTCTCATTTGTTTCTCTCTTTGCTTGTATTTTCTAAACTATTTGATCATCATATATTGAATACAGACTAGTACGTCTCTTCAAACCTTTTGTAATAGAGTTTGCATTTGAATGAACCAGTGATTGAATGAAGACAAGTTTGTTAAAAATGAAACAAACAAGGACACGTCCTCAAGCTGCCACCAAAGCATATCAACCCTCCAGCCCTCTCTGAGGAGAAAGGTCTTGACCACACCATTTTACCTTCCTCTTCACATTTGCTTTTATGAATTTGACCACGGGTGGGCAGCTGACCAAAGAGTAGCCATTACATTGGCCGGACAATAGTCTGTGATGTAACTTGACCCCAAAGGTGAATCAAGCCAATCAGAATTCAAACTTCAACAATAATCTACTAGAGATAACGTAGCAGGAAGCCTGGGGGATCTGAAGTAGATGAGAGTCTTCATTAAAGAGGGGTGTGAGAAGCCTCTGTGCCATATGCAACCTGATTACGAGGGAGACCACACCATTGGGAAGCCAGGAAACTGGTTAAGAGAGAGAAAAGGATGAACCAACTGGGAGCAGAGTCACACTCAGAGCTGCCTCTGGTTCTGGATGCCTGCTTCTGCCTCTCCCAGCCCACACAGATGCTCCTGGGACATCTTTCTCTTCTCCACAGTGACCTAACAAAGACTGTGTTGTGTGCAACTGATATTGCCAACTGGTGTTAAAGCCTTTCCTTTTTGTTCTGTTCTCGCTTACTTGGGAGGTTTTATTTGACCACTTTGGTAATTTCTTTTTCTCCAATAAGATTTGAATTATTTCATCTTACAGAAATTTCATTTGGAGCAGAAGTTTAGTAGAAACGAAGAAAGTAGGGAGGGATAATTATTGGTATTCAGTCGCCTTTAAGTAAGTACTATGATTATAAAAGATTCCCAGTGTCAGCACATATTAGAACACTTGTCTAGCATTTGCAGAACAGCCAACACATACACACACACACACACACACACACACACACACACACACACACGTACACACACACACACAGGACACATGAACTGGCTAGTTTTATTTCAATTTGATACAAGTTAGACTCAACTCAATTGGGAACAGGGAGCTTCAGTTGAGAAAATGCCTACACTAGATTAGCCTGTGGACAAGTCCATGGGGCATTGTCTTGATTGATGGTTGAGTGGGGAGGGCCCAGCTCTTTGAGGTTGGTGAACCCTGGGCTGGCGATCTTGGGTGCGATTAGAAAGCAGGGTGAGTAAGCTATGAGGCGCAAGCAGTAGGCAGCACTCCTCCATGGCCTCTGCATCAGTTTCTGCCTCCAGATTTCTGCCCTGACTTCCCTCAGTGATGAACTGTTAGCCGGAAGCATAAGATGAAACAAACCCTTTTTCCCCCCTTTCTCCCCAAGTTGCTTTAGTTCATGGTAATTTATCATACTCTTACATGCACATACCCCAAATATCTATCTTCTCTTCAACAGATTTTTAAATTTTCCCCACAGAGATTCATCTCTGAAGAAGCACCTGTTTCACATTTGTGCATACTGTTTTCCCCTCTTCTACTTACTTGGGGTAGAATCATCTAACTTTTGGCTTCTCCCTAAGACACTCCTGGTTCTCAGGAGTGAATCCTGGTCAAGAGACTTCCTTCTCTAGGATCTGGCACCCTGGACAAATCGCTGCTTTTCTGGGGAACGGAGGAGATGGCAGGTATTCCTATGTGGGAGGGGGCACATTTTCCGGCTACAGCTCTGACTAGAGGTAGAGGAAGAAGGAAGAGAAAAGAAAAGAGTCAAAACATTTGGTTATTCCACTTTCTATAAGAGAAAACACGGGTTCTGCCACAGTGACATGTCTTTGTCTGGGTGAGCGACTTTTCTTTATTTATCAGAGATGTTTCTAGATTTAGAAATAGTTAAATACCCAGAAATCCACACTAGTTCTACGTTTTCACTACATTTGTGTCTTTTGGGCCCAGAATATTTGCTCCGAAAAGTTCATAACTTTTAAAAAGTCATGAATTTATCAACGCCTGGTTTCTTTTGTGGTCATCTTAATTGCAAAATTGACTATACAGCAAATCAAATCAACTGTGCATAATCCAATTCAGTCATCAACTGAAAATATCAAGACTTTTCCCTCTGAATGCATGTGGCTGCCGATGTGCCAAGAAACATAATTCTGAGTCACGGTCTGCTACACACGGACTGTGGTTAATTCCCAGTCGTGGTAGCTGGATTTGCCACGTTACATTTCATGGCGGGGTCAGCTAATTCTTAACGTTGTGAGCACTTAACGCCTCCTCGACACAGGAGCCCACTTTGTTACCATTCCCATTGCTTTCCAACTCTCACCTAGGCTGCTTAATGGTGCCCACGTATAAAACCACTCTGCCCGTGACACTGTGGTGCATCTGTCCCGCCATGTTTTCATTCTGCTTAGCTGGAATAGTTTCCTTTTTGGGTGGCTTTCAAAAGCCTCTGTGAATGTCCCCTCTCTCCTGAATTATTCTTATTTTCCCAGACTTCCTTGGTGTTCGGTTCTGGATTTGAAAGCCTTATCCATCCGCGGCAGCTTACCTCTTATTATTGCGTTGTATTTTTTATTTAGGTGTATGTGTATACCTATGTGAGCCTAAGTGAACCACGTGCATGCAGGTGCTCATAGAGGCCAGAGGGCATCAAATTCCTTAGAACTAGAGTAATAGGTACTTGTTGCCTGACCTGGGTGCTGGGAGCCAAACTCAGATCCTCTGTAAGAGCAGCAAGCCCTCTTAACCACTGAGCCATCTCTCCAGCCCCTTACCTCTTTATTATTAATACAGGCTTCAGTGGATTGTTCCCTGCCATGCAGTTGGCAGTTCCTCAGTCAGGTCATATGTTCTGGAATGGAACTGTAACCACGGCTTTCACCATGACTTTATATTTTACACATTTTGCATGAGCACATCCGTCTACATATGCACACACAGAGCGGGGCATCAATTTCCACTCTATTTTCTTTGCATATGGAAAAGCAGATGAGATACAGTTACTATTTGTACTGTAGGGAAAGTTAGAGGGAGCTGGAACTTTTCAACCATTCCAGAGAAGAGCCCTCATTTCCCCAGGAACCATACTGCAGAAGGGTGGGGTGGAGGGAGAGGGCAGCCACCCAGTTCTCCTAACCTCATTTCCTTCTCTCGTTCGGAGAGAATGCTCAGATGCTCCGACATGGCCACATTCAGACATAAGAATCTAGACCCGTGCCACAACGAGGCCCACAGGATTGGTCTCATTACGCTTCTGACCGTGGACAACCGAGCAGGGACCACATAGGAATGACCGGTTGCGAACACAGTGGTATCACTATCATCACCCTCGTAACCGCCAGGAGAAAGAGCCGTCACAGGTACAAAGGTGTCTGCAAAGATTGGAGTTGTGATGTCACTCGCAGAGTCTTGTTTTCAGACTCTGGATAATCTGGATGTCACCGGTGCCGAATTACTTGTCCTGTTGCTGTGCTGTGGCTCCACGGATTTTTACAATTAAGATTTCTGTGGCATTTGCTCACAGCCGAGGAGGAGGTTGGAGCTTGCAAGGCAAGCCCTATTAAGATTGGCTAATTTCCCTGAAGCCCCAGGACTGCAAATTAGGTTGCTGCCACCAGGGTTTTCACTTGACTCAACGGTTCTCCAAGCTCTCTCTCTCTCTCTCTCTCTCTCTCTCTCTCTCTCTCTCTCTCTCACTCTCTCTCTGCTGAGGCAAAACATTTAGCACACAATACCGTCAATACCGTCAAATGAGATAATGAATGTGAACAGGCTTGGTATGTGTCCCCCTCGCTGCAGGGGACCAAAGGCTGACAGCACTGAGGGGAGAATCCAGACAGTCGCAGTCTGAGCCAGCCTCAAGGTCACCAGGGGAGGGAATTACTCCTAGATCTCAGCTCCCCCTCCCCGTGTGCGTGCGTGCGTGTGTGTGTGCGTGCGTGTGTGTGTGTGTGTGTGTGTGTGTGTGTGTGTGTGTGCACCAGTAATCGGGACTGAGCCCAAGTTTTTGCACATGCTACATAAGCCCTCTACAATAGAGCTATATCCCCAGATGGCTTTCCCCTGGGCAGCAGGAAACAGCAGCTTGCTTGCTGAAGACAGAGCGTGGGCCTTGCAAGTCACCTAACCCGTAAGTGGGATGAACAGAACATAGCGAGGGAGGAAGGCCAGTAAGTAGCCACATCCTGGAAAGAGCACAGAAAATAAGAAAGCTGCAGGTGCAGGCCTGCTGAGGGAGCCTGGGAGATGCAGCTGGAGAGTGCAGACTCTGGCTGAACCACGGCTGTCCAGATTCAGTGGAAACTCTTTTGCAGACCTTCAGCATCACAAGCCCTGGGGCACATCTGTAGTTAGGAGAGGGCAGTTCAGAACAACCTGTCTGCCAGCACACGCCTGGAGCAAACGCATAGGAAGAACTAAAGAAACGAAGCCAGAAGTATGGGATTGATGTTCCCGCCACAGAAATACAGGAACTGGTTTATAAAAGCCACGCATTCAGCAATGTCAGATTTGGACCAGATGTTGCTAGAATGTACCACAGAACTGGCAAACAAGAGGGGGCTGGTGAGATAGATCAGTCAATGGGCAAAAGAAATGACAATGACAAAAAAAAAAAAGAGTCAAGACTGAGGACTTGAGTTCAATTCCTGCCACTCACATAGTGCAGGAGAAAACTAATTCCTGAGGGTTGTTCTTTGACCTTCACGTATGTACGTGTGCACGCACAAGCCTGCGTGTGTGCATGTGCGTGTATGCGAGCACACACACACACACACAATTAAAAGAATATCAAAAATCATTGCTGCTGGGTTTTGCTTCTTCTGGAGCAGTTTGGCTGCATAACAAACCCCCTCAGTCCTGTGAATTTTTTGAGTTATCCAACTCGTAGCTGATACGTGCTTCACAAGGTTGCTGGTGAAAATAAGGTAACACACAGAAGTTTCTCCAGGTGGTTATTTGAAGGCGTTGAAGTGATAATGTTAAAGATAAAGTTGCAATGTCTATTGGAGTTAAAACACGAGAGAGGCACCTTTAATTGTAAGAGTTCAGGACAAGGCTTTGGAAAGCATGCCCCCAGGAAGCCCGTGTTTATGTAAGCTGAAATCCTTACTGGAACATTTCTAAACCCCAAACCCTGGTTGGCTTCAGAGTGAAGTGTCACCTGAGCTAAAAAGGCCCAGAGGGAGTTTTGGCTTAGCCCAACTAGTTCAATCCAGAGCAGGGTCTTAACCCAGCCGTTGAGAGGCTGGTACTGGGGCAAAGGGTGACCACATACCCCTGGTGGTCTAGATCTGTTGTTCCAGCATCCTTTAGCATCTGGGTTAGCTTTTGTTCTGCCCTGTCTCATTCCCATGATGGTCCTAGTTTAGAAGACAGATGCTGTCTGCTTGACCCAGCTCTGCTCTCTTTGCTCAGTTGTTTAATGTTGGCAGCTGTCACCCCCGAGTATCACGTGATCCGTCTCCCTCTCCAGTTCCCGAGAGCTCCAGCCTCTTCCAGGGGGATGGAAAACTTCCCACCAGCCTCTCCAACATGGCTTCTGCCCTCTGGGAGTCACTGCCTCTCCCTGGTCCCATTGGTGTCACATGACCATTCCACTTGGAAAAATGCATTAGATGATGGACTTGGCAATATGTGCCCCAATAGTAGGTGGGAGACACTTCTACACAAATCGCGCATGGAGAATGAGGAAGGGATAAATGTCCCATGGAAAAGTGAGTATCTGTTGGCATTGGAAGAGAAAGGTAGGGAATGGGAGCTAACGAAATGGTTTACCGTAAGGCGCAATAACAAAAGCGCTGGAGCAGAAATGGTCCACCTGCCTGAGAGCTCCTCTGACAACTGGGATTTGAAGGGTAGACTATCAGTTGCATAGTTTCTGCCTCAGTTTCCTTTTAGGGAGAGTGGGATTTTCGAGTCAGTTTCACTCTGAATGTTTGATGTATGAATAGATCCTCTCAGCCTTCAGGGTTACCAGTTCCAGTCTCCCTTCCCCCAGGTTTTCTCTCTAAGGGAAAAACAACTTACCTTGGCTTTGTTTCTAATGTTAAAAAAAAAAAAAAACCCTTCCAACATCAGCGGGGGTTTGAAGTATTCCATTGCTCGTATTATGTCATATTCCTTAACTAGCCAACTTTCCCCACAGTTTACAACTTGTGTCAGGCCCCGGGAAGATCTGCTTCTAGATTTTTCCCTGTGAACAAAACAAGTCATAAAATCAGATTTATATTATGGTTTCCTTACAGTTGCGTTTCACCCCAAGTTTCTTAAATCAAGGAATTGACTACCATAATGGCCGAATGAATAAAACACGGCAGCAATGAATGACTGCCTTTAGCAAACCGAGAGGAACCTTATTATTTAAATATTCCTGGGTATATTAAGTGGAGCAAAAGGCTTGGAATCAAAAGTGAGAGAAACAGGCGGCCAAGTTAAAAAAAAAATGCCACCAGGCTGTAAATAAAATATGAAACCGGCTCAGAAAGGGAGCATTACTGCGAAGTCAAACACTGATATATGGTCCGTAATTGTGGGACGTTTGTAAAAGGTGACATGGCACCTGTCAATTATCCACAACAGCCAGGAAATGCAGATTACATGAATAATTCAGCAACCTAGTGCCCTTTGCTGCTCAGCTGTCTAAGCCCAGATCCATAAAATAACTACTGATATGAAAGAGAAGGATGTTTCAATTGCAGGAGCCTTAGGTGACATGCAAAGGTGTTTGCAGGGCGGTTTCTTCGTGCAGCTGTGTTCCCGTTTTGTACTAGTCACTGAATAATTAACAGATGCGCCTTTTTCATGTGCAACAAATTGGGGGGGGGCTTGGGCGCTAAAAACTTTATGTGTCCTACAAGAATCTGCAGGATCATAAATATATTATTATGTATCTCAACTGCCTCACCTTCCTAAATAGCATGCGCTCTTTTTTAAAAGAGAATATGTCAGGACTGGGTGTTGATGGTAGGTGCCCATTGGAGACGGAGGCAGGGGGATCACAAGTTCAAGTCGCCTGGGCTGATACTGAACCCCTTTCAAAACACACACAAAACCACCACTAATTGTGTCAATTTACGGGGTATAATGTGGTAACAATATTTGTACATAATAGGGCCAAGCCTGAGCTTTGGCTTTAGATTTATGGAACTGAAGACTATTCCGTTTGGAAGGTCACTTAGAGACAGCCTAGTGGTTGTTTCCAGAAACGTGTGAGAGAGGTTAACGACGAAGCTCAACGTAGAACCTTGCTTTGCGCGGCATACTCAGTACCATCCTTAGCAGCACAAAGCAAGTCCACAACCACACAGAGCGTCTTGTCTAGAAGGCAACGGAACCCTGTCAGAAAACCTGAGGTGAAAATCCAAGCAGGAAAAAGTGACGTTGTCTTCACTAATTTTAGGGGTGGTGGTTGGAACTATAGACACCTAGAGTCAGCCTACTCAGTAACCCCGACTCATTACTTACTCTCCACCTTTCCCAAGGACCTACATGATGCACCATCCCAGTGCAAAGATGAGGCTAAATGAGACTCCTGAGAGACGAAGGGGCCTGCTGAAGCCCCCGAACCAAGCTCCAACCAAGTGTTTGGAACTGGAAAGGCACGTGTACAACTCTTAAGGACAGCTTGTTTACACGGCCTTACGAGCATCCAGGATTTAGAGAAATACCAGTTTCATGGCTCTCAGGACCTGTCAAGAGAGCTAGATGGGTGGAAATAACTGATTTCTTTCCTGTGTGACTGGAGTCAGCTGCCTCCTTTCTTTCCACCTCCTCCACAGTCATGGTAGGCACAAGCCAGGGTCAGAGGTCACAGAGGCTGCAGGTGAGGCCCTAGGATGCCCAGAGGACCAGGCAGGGAGTGACAGGAAACTGGATAGAGACTACCCTCTAGCCCGTGTGCTTCCCTGGGCTACTGTAAGAGAAGCCTCATTGGAGACAGCAGCAGAGGTGGCAGATTTGGGAGCATGCCCAGCCAACACTCTGGGGACAGTTTCCCCACCTCCACAAGGATGGTTGGTTCTTTGTAACTTCCTTCTAGCAGACAAAAAGAGCCGAAACCCGGTTCCATTTCAGAATTTACACAGTAAAGAAGGCTTCGTTATTATGCACAGCCATCCCCATTTTACAGAGGTCCGGGACTTTCTTTCTCAATTTCGGCTTGTTTTCAGATGAGGTCTGACCCTCTTTAGGACGAACTTTCCGCCCCGTGTGCAGGCACTGCAGAGCGCTCGCACAGGCTTTCTCCAGTGCTTGTCACTCTCTTCTAAGCTGGTAGTTTAGAGCGGCTTGTCTTTAGAGCGCTGACCGAGGAGGAGGTGCAATGGAGGGGGAACCACTCTCGACGCGGAGTGCAGGGCACCGAAGCC